CATCCTCTTCCGGACATAAAACACACACCTCATTCAGCAAGCCTCTACTTTAATTAGATCTTCGGCCTTTTATTGAGTGATCACAATCGTGAGTCCCGTAATCTATTAGGGTCGTAGAGGCACCAAGTGTGCTGCAGCCGTGGCAAGTGTCTTGGGCAAAATAGCTTGACGGAGCCCAATCTTCTCCAGGCTTGTTTGAATGCAGAGTTTAAGTTTAAACTTCTCCTAAACCAGTTGCCAACCAAGGCTATAGTTTAGCTGGAGGGATGGGGAAGAGATGGATTCATAACTTTCCCAAGGGGATTTACGTGTAAGTCAATGTAACGAATTCGACTTGAATTCGAACTCGGCTCTTCAATTTCTCAATTCAATCGGCTCTCCACGTATTGGGTGAACATTAGTATAAAAAAGGTATAAAAGGATAACATTCGTGCATACAAACAAACAGAATAATATTATAGCTATATCAAATTAGTAACATTGATATATTGTTATGTAAATGGCGCAGCTCGAGGAGGTTTAATGATTAGTAAGTTTTTCTCGCAAGAACAATTACGACTGAGCAGTGAGTTCGATCCTCACTGGGCACCCCATACTTTCGGCCTTGTACCACATCTAAGCTACGCTTGGAAAGTCAGTATTATTATGTAAATTCTTCAACATTTGGGAGTCGTCATATTATTTAGCATTCAAATTTATCGAATTTAATCATCTGACCAGACAAAAAAAAAAAAAAAAAAATTCCCTTCTGTCCGTAACATCTCGGTTCAGTCCAATTCACATTACGCAAAATTGTGGTGAAATCAGTAAAGGCGTCAAATTCTATATTAAGTTATTTGAAGGTCGAAGTTTAAATAATTAAATATCGCAAGTGTCTCTTCTAGTTTAGTTAGTTTCAAAATAACACAATATTGATGGGACAGGAGAAGATCCGAGTCGATATGCCATTCAGTATCGATTTTTAATATTCTATGATGTGTATGTGTGTAGATCAATGCATCATTGTAATCGATAATCATATCTTATATGTTTAACAAAACAAACTTCAAAGTTTGTACAATTGTATAAAAACTTGTCGCTACAGTATTCTGAAAAATCCGAGATCACTCGCAAGGCTCGTATCAGAAAAGTATAATCGTATGAAATAACAGTTTATTCAGGATAATTTTTCAGCTTTTTTATGCCGTTAAATCTTTAACACGTTGGCTCCCACGCGACCAACAGGAGGGTCCTGGTGGTATGTCTGCAAGGCCCACATGACCCTCACGTGGGCCGTTTTCCAATTTCTTTTCTATGAGGTTTATTGGGAGCGGCATGTTATGCTTATGAGATCATGGTACATCAGAACCTCTTTTTTTCCTACACCCCCACCACACCACCAAAAATTAAATATTTTTGAAATTCTTGTCTTTTATTTTGGTATATCTACTGTTGTTTTATGGAGAAATTTGTAAAAACGTTTTATACACAGAGCTGTACCATGCATTCGTGTGTGTGTCGTGTGGAACTCTAGGTTGTAAAATAGACTCAGGTAACGAACGACACACCAGTGGGTCGTGGGTAATAAGTGCTACCTACGATATCCTTGTCTCACATATGTCAGTCAGTTATGTGCTATGCGTGATACACACTTAAGCGATCATGTATCTTTCGATACATGACTGACGAGGCAGATTTTTTTTACCGCAGTAGGTTGCCATTTGTTTTCTGCGGTGAAGTAACTTTGTTACCTTCTTGGTGGACTATTGAGGTTCCCTTCTTGGTGAGCTGTCTGGCTTTCACTTGAAGACTCTAAAATCGATAGCATATGTCACTAGAAGAAAAAATAACGTTATAATCAAGATAGTGGCTTTCCATACAAAAAGTTAGAAAAGAAACTCTCGTCAATAATATAAAGATCGATAACAGTAGAGTTGAGAAGCTTATTACCCTGAGAAAAAAAACTGTTTTAAGAGAGAAGATTCTATCAATTTCAACCGACTTTAGTCAATGAATGTCGAATGTTTGCTGCATAGAAACGGTTAATCTTACCGTTACTTTTAATATTTATTCATTTATTTATTTTTTGCAAAATAACTTTGTTTACCTTTTGTGTTAAATAATAATAATAACAATAAGAAGAAGATCTTAAAAAAAAACTATCAAAATACAAGGATTTTGAAATGGAAATCGCAAAAATGTGTCATATAAGGACATCAATAATTCCAGTTGTAGTTGAAGCCTTCGGATTGATTGGAAAAGATTATAATAGACTCATTGAAGGAATTGCTGCCTTAAAAAATACAAAAAAATAGAAAAAGTTCTACTCACAAGTACAGCTCACACATTATGAACAGCGTTATCTATATGTAATCTTAGGTTGTATTTTTTTTTTACAAAAAAATTAGTGGAAGATGTCATGAAGCCGTTTCTAATCTTAGGTCTCTGGTTGGGTCCCGGAAGGAAATGTGTATATAACAGAAACCCAAAGAAATAATAATAATAATAATATGTGAAACCCTAACCCTAACTCTGGCCCAGACATCGTTGTCAAAGACCACAAAAGCAGAATGTGCTTTCTTATTGACATGGCAGTCCCTTTTAGATTGTAATGTATCTTTGAAGATCTTCAAAATACTATCAAATTACTAGGATTTTGAAATAGAAATCTAAAAAATGTGTCACATAAGGACATCATAGACTCATTGAAGGGATTCCTAGCAGCCCATACTTTAAAGAAATACAAAAGATTGACTCACAAGTACAGTTCACACATTACGAAGAGCTTTATCTATTTAAAATGTGTTTGATCTTTGTTGTTTTTTTGGCCCTTCATGAAGCCATTTCTGACCTTAGGTCTCTGCTTGGGAAGAAAATTTGTATACAAATGAAATCAAAGGAAATAATAATAATAATAATAATAATAATAAGGAACTGGAACAAGATGAAGCCTATAAGTACCTAGGAATTAGCGAAGTATGTAACATCTCCAAATGGAAAAGGTAAGAAAGGAGTACTACAGGCGTGTGCGTCTGATACTAAATACCGAGCTCAACTCAAAAAACAGAATATCAACCATAAACACATTGGCTGTCCCTGTGGTGCAATAACTGGACCATAGCTGATATTAAGCGAATGGACGCCAAAGCGAGATAGCTTCTCAGTTGCTCACATGCATCATCCCAAAGCTGATGTTGACCGCCTGTATGTGTCTAGATCCAAAGGAGACAAAGGATTAGTTCAACTAGAACTGTCCTACAAAACTACAACAATTGGAAACTACAGATGATAATATGTGTCAAAGAACATGAAAGTAATAAGCGGCTTTGTTCCGTAATAAATGAAGCCAACAAGTTCGAAATGGAGTTTCAAATGGGTGCAAAAATACAAATAAAGAACAATACCCCAACTGAAGCTGCAAAATACTTAAAAAAGAGACCAAAGATAAATGCAACCGATCAGATACAGAAACAATGGCAAGATAAACTACTTCATGGCCAATACCCTACCCGTACCAAACAATCTGATGTAGACAAACCCCGTACCCATCAGTGGCTACGTTGTGCAGGGTTAAAAGCTGAAACTGAAGGTTTTATCCTTGTTGCACAGTTAGTGCTTGTTAACTAGAAATTATCAAGCACACATACTAAGATATCGTGTTAGCCCGAAATGCAGATTCTGTGATAAATATCCAGAAACAATTGATCATCTTGTATCAGGTTGCACGGTATTGGCACCTACTGAATATAAAACCCAGCACGACAGGGTGGGCCAATATCTGCACTGGAAAATCTGCAACTTCTAATGAAAGGAAACTGAAAGAAATTGATATGAACACCACCCAGACCCGATTACGAAGATAGGACCTGTTACAATTATATGGGACTACAGAATACACACAGAACAATCAAAGCTAACCGCCCAGACATTGTTATCAGAGACCACAAACAAAAAAAAAAGTGCCTTCTTATTGATATGGCAGTACCTGCAGATTGCAATGTATCTTTAAAGATCTTCAAAAAGCTATCAAAATACAAGGACCTTGAAATCGAAATCTCACAAATATGGCATATGGGAGCATCAACAATTCCTGTTGTAGTTGGAGCCCTCGGATTGATTGGAAAAGATTCCAGTAGACTAGTTGAAGGGATTCCTGGAAGTCCATGCCTTAAAGAACTACAAAAAATTGTTCTCACGAGTACAGCTCACGCCAAGGGCTTTATCTGTGTAAAATATGCTTGCGTTTTTCTTTTATTGGTCAGTGGAAAATGTCATGATGCCAATTCTAACGCTAGGTCTCTTGGCGGGACCCGGAAAGAAATGTGTACACACGAGAAATGAAAGGAAATAATAATAATAATAATAATAATAGTAATAATAATAATTGTTATTAAAGACCACAAACAAAAACGGTGCCTCCTTATTGATATGGCAGTCCCTGCTGACTGCAATGTATCTTTGAAGATATTCAAAAAGTTGTCAAAGTACAAGGACCTTGAAATAGAAATCTCGAAAATGTGGCATATGGGAACATCAACAATCCCTGTTGTAGTTGGAGCCCTAGGACTGGTTGGAAAAGATTGCAGTAGACTAATTGAAGGGATTCCTGGAAGTCCATGCCTCAAGGAGATACAAAAAATTGTTCTGACAAGTACAGCCCACACCTTACGAAGAGCTTTATCTATGTAATTTAATTTTTTTTTTTTTTGTCAGTGGAAAGTGTCATGACGCCATTTCTAACCTTAGGTCCCTGTGCGGGACCCGGAAAGAAATGTGTAAACGCCAGAAATCAAAGATAATAATAATAAAGATATAATAATAATAATAATGTCAGTTCCTTTAAAAATATTTAAAACTTGAAACAAATATGTTGATAATCTCATTGTACGGTTGAACTCTAATTAATAGATTGAAGAAACATAAAATCCAGAAGGAGACAGAAAAGCTGTATAAGTTAAAACGCAAGTTTATATATCTTTAAGTTTGTATCTCTTATATGGATTTTGTTTGCTCTTTTCCAGACATGTATCGTCATATTTGCTGGGATATTGATGAACGCGGGTCTGTAGGAGAGACGATTCTTCATCTCTGTCTTCTCAACGCTACTTCCACACATGCCGATTTGGCGAAGCGCTTGACACGTCTCTTTCCAAACCTCATAAACGATATATACCATTCCGAAGAATACTACGGTAAGTGCTGCACTCGAAAGAATATATACGAATATATTGTAGTGGACCATATGGGTTTGTGTGTTGTTGAATTAGAAACACATGCTGTTTATTCCTGCTAGAAGAAGATTCAACTACAAGAACATGGCGGACTCAAGTTGAGTCTAACCGAATAGAATAGATAGATATATATATATATATGCCAAGAAATATATGTATTAAACGACAAATCTACAAGTGACAAAGACATCAACATTTATGTTTGTGTGTGAACGTAAAGAATTTGTATATTGGTGAAATTTCGTACGTACGTGTATGTGTGTATAATGTTCATGGCGTCTCCCACAAATGGGAAGACGCTATGTTCTGCGAGAGCTTGCATTGTAGACGTGTTCACTGAAATGAAGAAATGAAAAAGAGAACGAGGCAAGAAGTTGCCCAGTATTTATAATGTAGGGAGAGCGACCTCTGGTGAACAATTAGGGAATTAAGGAGGAGCTAATTCCGACAATATAACTATTTACCTATACATAGACTAATATGAACAGGTTGTTTACGTTTTAAAGAGGTTACAGTAAGCACATAAGACAAAGGAAAGACAAACCAAATTTATTCGTGTCGCCACTCGAAAGTTAACTCATCAAGGACCACCGCCCCATATTAGGGACAGTGGCAATTAAAACCTATAATTAATACGGGATTTTTATAAACTTGTAAAGAATTGTGTTGGTGGTTTGTTGGTTATTTTTCTGTTGTGCTTTTTCATTATTTTCTCATTTTTACCGTGAATATCTTGTGGAGAGTGATTGATAGGGAGAAGTGTTTATATACGAGTTAAATGAAAATTTTTCCTACGTTTGTTTTTACGTTTTTGTTGTATGGTTTTATTATAATGTTTCATTTTCTATTGGCCTTTTTTTGCACTGTGTTTATGTGAATGTTGCCGACAATCCACTATCTTTTAGGGCTGTTTCATAAACTTTTTTGGCTTCGTTGTTAAAATTACACCTTTAAGCGCCGAATCTAGGTGCGTCGTCAGTGTCGTTGCTCCCATGTCACTAGAAGTTTATATATATATATATATATATATATATATATATATATATATATATATATATACACTCTTCCGTCGAATTCGATGTATGAGGGTTAAGCAGATCAGTTCTTAGGAACCGACAGCCCGACACCAGCACATGAGATTTGGTTATAGTGTGCAGAACCATCCACACTTTTTGAAGGGCCGAATACAGAGACTTGGTGCACTATGTGCCACTAGGTCTCCAAACAAACCCTCCGCAGGTTTTGGATTCAGAGTTGTCCTTCTAGACCAGTTGCCTTCCAAGGCTATAGAACCCAGTCTGTATGGCTATTTATCCATTGCTGGAGGGAGAAGCAGATTCATACATTTCCCATGAGTATTAGCACTAAGTGAATGTAATGGAGTCGACTGGAATTCGAACTCGGCTCTCCGATTCCTGAATCCGAGCCGCTATCCATATAATGGGCACGTAGCCAAGCTGACCATGAAAACTGGGTTCGAATCTCAGCATATCCGATTTATCAGGAAGGTGATTTCATGATGTTATCAGTCTGGGGAAGGCAATCCTAACATGCGAGACCGTTGGAAAGTGCCTGAAAACCATACCACGAGTTGACCCAAGCCCTTTGAGGGAAATTGGGTAAACGGAACTCTTTGTGTCTGTCGACGGGTGTGCTAGCACGAAGTCACAAGTCATCGTGACCAAGCGATCTGGCCTTGATCAGGTTGTTGATCATGCTAGATAACACGCTTCTCTCCCAGAACTAAGGTCTGCTCAGGATAGTTGCAGTATAAACCACGAGTGGGCTCTGTGGGTGTTGAACAAGCACAAAAATGCGCCAGAGTAAGCGTATGCAATAGGGATTAGCTAGATGCCCTAGTAGAATACGAGTGGACAGTCATTAACGTAAACTTTATATATATATATATATATATATATATATATATAGTTTTAAGGGATGCTATATTATGGAATAAATATTAGAGATAGAGAGTATGTAAATATAAAAGTGAACATTGAAGTCAACACTCAGAAGCAACAGACTGTTTCATGCTAGACGCAATCATCAGGCCACATGCGTTGTGTTTTTTCTCGACTATTTATATATATACTGGAGAGTGGCACATTGTGGGTAGTCTAATCCATTGTGGGTAGTCTATTCTAACGGTTATTTTGGCGGGAGTGGTTTGTTAATCTGTTTATTATTTACATTATTTATTTATTTGGATGAATTTATTTTACAAGTAAAATAAATTCATCCAAATAAATAAATTTATTTTACCTCTGTCCATGCTTAGAATATAGCTGCCATATATGGTCCGGTGCCCTTGCTATTTAACTTGAGCTCCTTGATAAAATCCAAAGAAGAATCAGCAATATTATTGGTCTTGATCTGGCGGCTCGGTTTCAGTCGCTTGCCCACCGCCATAAGGTTGCCTCTCTATACCGTTTTATACTTTCATGGAAATTGTTTGGATGAACTCTTCGTTATGGTACCTAAATTTTTTGAATTTTAGTGAAGTACTAGACTGGCTGCATCGAGATCTCATACATTTACAGTTGAAAGACAAATGCCAAGTTGGCTAGATGCAATCGTATATTCTATGCTAACAGTTTCTTTTCTCACATTTCTCGTTTGTAGTACAGTGTGACCCGGATATAAGAGAGTTGTCGGGACCGGAGAAGTCTCTTATATCCGGGTTTCTCTTATATCCGGGTTTGGTCTATTTTATATACATTAACACAGGCTCTAATTTGGGACCAGAGAAAATCTCTCTTATATCCGGGTTTCTCTTATATCCGGGTCTCTTATATCCGGGTTACACTGACTCCCTTCTGGTTTCATGCTTTCCAGCCAACTCTAATCTGCAAAAGTTTAAATGCAATGTCAATTGTTATCTACTGCCCTCCTGATTACTCTTTCCTCTTCCAGCACATTATTAATATTTCTGTTTCTAATTCTTCCACACTCTGTAATTCCTTTGTGTCTTAATAGCTTTAGTTCCTTACATGGGTAACACAGATTAATATATATATATATATATATATATATATATATATATATATATATATATATATATATATATATGATATAAGGACTGATATGAAATATCCGAATAAAGTTTGTAAGATAGAATATATGAAAATCAGTTGGATGTTTAATTTCTTTAAAATCTGTTACAAACTTTTCATTCAGAACATCATCAGGACGACTGAAAAATGAACTAAAAAATCGTTACCCTGGTATCCTTGCTACATCGTAACGCTGAGGTTAATTTGAAAATATCTTAAAATTTAATAGTTAATAACATTAAAAAATATTTGTGAATTAATTAAATATCTGTGAACAGTCAATGAAATTTGTACAAAGGAAAATGATAAAATAAATGTAAAATATAGGATCGAGGAAAAAAGTGTTTTGATACGAAAACAAATCACGTATATCAAAAGAAAATATTTTTCATACATTATTCTGTTTTACATTTATTTTAACATTTTCCTGTCAAAGTAAAAAATATGTATCCCATCAACCAAAATGACCTAGACTTTTTTTACTCTGTATGTGGTTGTTCTAGGTCAGCTATAAAATTGAGCTTGGTGTTAGCCATTTTTTTATATCAAAAAGGATGTTTGTTAGCCATTCTTTTTATCAAAAAGGATGTTAAACAAGGTTACACATTATTTGCCACTATGGTATTGTCAGCTGTAATGTTCATAACTGAACAAAAGTATCGTGAGAATGGTTTCTTTATTGCTAGTCAAATAATATCAAATTTATCATATACAGATGATATTCTTTCACACTTAATAACCCTTTGTGTCTTAGTGGGTTTATTACCTTTCTTGGTAGAAAAGGATTTAAAAAAAAACAACTATCTAAGGGAGCTAACTTTCCCACAATTACAAAGAAATCGTTCGTAATCAAGATATACAAAATCAATTACTATCTTGCAAGAGAAAACAAGAAGTTGCAGTAAAACAAGCCTTGGATAGACTATTTTTGGAAACCATAAATTTATGTTAAAATCAATCCGTAAAAAAATGAAAATAAACTTTATATATATTTTTTCATTTGTTTTATATGGTTTAAATCATATAGCATGGACTCTAAGGCTTTCAGCTCTAATTGAAACATTCCAAAACCATATGATGACGACTTTGAGAAATGTAACATATTTGACTTCGCTCTTTGATATCATCTATAACAAATCCATGAAATGATTTGGACATATAAATTTTGAATTACTGAATTATCTTCTTTTTCAAAGAATTTTAAATTATTGTCTATTGCAAATCGACTTGAGAATTTAAACTTTAAATCAAAGGAAAGCAATGGAAATTCTAAAATATATATCAACATTTGAGGACACATGGCACAGTGGATAAAGGCGTTAGTTAGATCCAGTGACAGGACCCAAAGTGTATGAGTTCAATACCCGGTTAAGGCAGTGGAGAACTTTCAGAAGGAAATTAACAGGAGATAACTGATAACTGACATCCATTAAACATGGCACATGGAACTAGAGCAGTCTACCCCAGTGAGTGAAATAAAGGGTTCAGTTCGACATTCCAACCACCTGAAGCAAACCGGAGCGTACAACGGCCGAAACGTTGTAATAAATATGGCGACAAAGATGAGGGCAATAGTCCGAATAATGCACATAATACCTCATCTCAGAAATATAGACAGGAACTTTTATACAGTGATGGGTTCATTTTATTATTGAATATAACATAAAACCTTTGATGAATAGAAAATCCTTCTGGAAAAAAGATTAGCATACCATGGTGTAAAATGCCCAAATCTTCAAAAAAACAAAAATTTATCATCAAAATCTTTGTTATTTTTAAGAGTGAAGACCAAAGGATTTTTGGATTATGAAATTACTTTTTTGATTTTTTTTAGAACGTCCGAAATTTTGGTTAAAAATCTTCTTTTTTTTTTTTTGTTCATTAATCGTATTTATTATTTTAATTGTC